ATCTTTATCAGTTTTTTGAATAATATAATAATAAATTTAGGATCGTCAGAGAAAAATTCTCCCACTCCTACAGCTTCCTCGTGTTTATTAAGCGTCACAGACGGTCCAATCTAATGTCTCTTTTTCCTCCGTCATTAGTAATAGACTGCTTTGCTCAAGAAAGTTATTTAGTCTTTTAGCTCATGTTGTTGTGCTGCATTTATTTGCGCTCAGAGTGCTTCTGTGTAAATCAGTTTTACTCTGGGCTGATATGAAGTTGGGGAAACGGGTGCATATGGGAATATGTGGCAATTTCAGAGCTGATTCTAATTCTGACAATAAATTGTCATGCACTCAAACCTCTTCATGAATGACTTAGACTTTTTTAGTGGGCTTAAAGAAGCAATTTACTACAAATATGTCCAGTTAGGATCTGAGCCTCTTGTAGGGGGAGGTTAAAAACCTTTTGTCTGATTCTCTCTTAACCTTTGGTTAATAAAGGTAGATGAGAATAGTGTGGGAGTCTGAAAAGTGAAGCATCACAGAAGAGTCTTCATGCATCCTGTTTAATAGCCAGTAGGGAGTAATGCTTGTGGTTAAAAATGACTTGCAGTTATATCAAAGTCTATGGGAAGCAGACCTTTCTCTGTTGTTTCATGGTGTCAGGCAATACCTTCAGGTCATATTAAACAGGCCGTTAAGTTTTATAAATTCTGGCTATTCTATAAGAAGATTTTCCAGAAAATGCTCATGAGCATGTGGTTTCAAAGTCAGATGCACCCTTCATTCGACACATCCAAGTTGCTAATCTTGAAGCTTCAAAATGACACCTTACAAACCCGTGAGTGACACCAGTCCCTCTGTCCAGCTTTCCATTTATTCTGCTGCTGTGTCTGTTAGCAATCATTAGATTACTCAATCTTTAGCATCTACAGGTAGCTGTCTAACTGACAGCTAGGTAGGTAGCTGGGGTGATGGTAGGGTTTCAGCAAGGTTACTGTAAACCTAAATGTCATGAAACCTGGTGGAGAGCTGGAGCTTCGGGGGAAAAAACACAATGTTACTAAAGGGAAAAAGAATAACATTAAATTCTGCTGTGGATCCAGATCTCTCACTTTAATGTTGGTAAAGCATTGGTGTTGGTTAGCGATGAGCTTCTGACTTCCCTCATAATATGTACTTTGATTTGAAAGGGCCTTATTGAGAAGAAATGTGTCGCTGAAACCTGCAGAAATTCCGTCTTTTTCTCCTTTGTTTTCCCTGCAGATCGTGCAATTTCTAAAGTGTGATGAATGGAAGTACACACTACATGATAACGCTTGAATTTCAGGAAGCCAGAGGTCAAATTTGTTGGAGAAGCCTAGCAAACTGCCAGTGTCTATATATACAAACCTGCAACTTTCCATCTCCAAAAATCACAGCAGCATTTCCTTTTCTAAACATTTCAGCTAAAAATGTCAAGGCTTTGGCAGGAAGCAATTTGCTAAAAAGCCTGAGATGAAAAACAAGGGAGTGACCACGACAGGGTCAAGCATGATAACTATCGGCACTCAGTCAGGCCTGCGAGACCACTGGCTACATTTTTATGACTTATTTATTTTAAAATCCAGCTAAAGCTCTTTTCTGCGACCTGTCAGCCATATAGGATCTGAAATGTTAGGAATCTGAGCGCTCGAAAATAACTCAGAGGTAGGACAGTTCTCGTAAGTACATGTTACAATTACAAATCTCCATCTGGAGATAAGAATAATATACAGCCCATATTTAACCGGGCAGCAAACAAATGGTCACAAAAGGCCTCCCCACCTTCATGCCTGTTTACTCACAGCTGGATGTGAAAAATGTGTTAAAGCTTGTCAGTAAAATTTTGCTTCTGGGTGATGACAGGAAAGAGCCAAAAACATCACATAGGGTGATCCTGAAAGTGAACATGAATATGTTTGCATGAAGTGATGGTATCTTTCCATTTTTCAGGCTAATTTACAAGTCTCCCTTCTTTATGCATAGTCTCCTTTGTATATATAATATATATATACTTCCTTACAAAAACAGAGAGGCTGGATTTCTGGGACTTTCGTGCCAACTTGCTGTGAAAGCGCTGAGGAAAGGTAAAACCTCAAACTGCTTAAGCACTAATTTCAGTCTAAAGGCATGGCTTGTATGCCTTCCACCCTGCCCAGCAGTTAAATAACAGCCTGAGTGCATTCAGACTTCAGTTCTAATTAAAATATATTTATTTTTCCCTTTTACTTAACCTTACAGGGTATTGTGCCAAGAAAACACTGCTGGAAATCAGTTCAGGACACCATCTTTCCAAAAAGACTTGATCCTAGTAACGCTGGGGTTTAATACACGTGACGTTGAAGGTGTGAAGTTAGAAAGAATTTAACCTCAACTAGAGTTATCAAGATCAAATTCAGGGCTGTGAGTCTTCATTTACTTGAATCAAGGTAGTTATTAAAATATAGGTTTGTTTGCCCAGTGTTTACTCCTCAGGAGATTACACATTGATGTGAAAGAGGTAGTGTTGATACCATATAGCCATCTGCAAGCACGGACAGGTCTAGAGCAACAGATTTCTCTTAAGAGCAAACTGTAACCCTAAATAAATGTGAGGAAAATAAAAATAGCGGTCAAATCCAAGAAGGGTGTTGGTTAAAAACATAAATGATAAGAATAGGCTAATAAGGAGAGTAGCCTTATCATTGCCTGGCCCTAATTACAATCAATATTTAATTAACTTTGAGTTTATTTAACACCAATTCACAATAACAGTTTGCTCAAAGTGCTTTACATTGTAAGATAAACTCAACAAAGTGGTGAGGAAGAACTCCCTTTTAACAGGAAGAGACCTCCAGCAGACCCAGGTTTGGGAAGGAGCAGCCACCTGCAAATCCTATATAAATACAGGAAGAGATTCGCTCACTGTGCATTATTTTGTCACTAATGGTTGGTTGCTAGTAGACAATCTACTAATTACTACTCCTTTGTGCTATATGTCAATCAACAGCATTCTTCACTTTCATTGGTAGTTGCTTTAATTTTTTGACTTTTTTTGAGTTGAGACAATATTAACTCTTGACCTGCCAGTACTTGCTTTGCTTTGGGTGGTCTCTTGTTGTTGGTACATCACCAGCAGTCACTATCTGTGTGGACGCCCGTTAAGGCTGCTTTATGATCAGTCTACAAAGGTCTATAGAAAGGAAGTCAAGCAAGGAATGGAATTGCTTTCACTTAAAATCTGTATTTCTATTGACAATAGTCACTAAAAGGCAAAGATCCTCTATGTACACCAAACATTGTGCTGTTTCCTTACCTTTTGAACATACCTGAGCTAAAATGATTTAGTAGTGCGGGGTAATTCTGAAGCTACGCTTAAAATCGTGAAGTTACTTCTATTAAGGAGCTACTTCACTTTATAGTACAGAAATGAACTGCAGTGTCCTTGCTGATAGTAATAAAGGAACCTGCTATTCTGTGTATTTGTGTGGCTTCAAATTAGAGGTGGGAATCACCATACATCCCACGATACGATATTATCACGATACTTAACGCACG